AAAATAAAAGTAAATATAAAAATAATCATAAAACTAAAACTTTCTAAAAATCGAAACAACCGCCCGCTAATGAAGTCGAACCCAGGAACCCACGAATAAAGACCACGCACTATCCATCTAGGCTACTCTCGAAGTTGATTTTATGATACTTAAAATTGGTGTTAAAGGAGACGCTAGAATCTATACCAAAAACAGAGCTGACGAGTAAGGATAGTAGAAGATATATCTGATCTCCTTACTCTTACATTGGTTCGATTACAACGTTTCAAACTTTCATCGTTCCAAAGATATTACGATCTAAAAATAGAATTCTCTCTTTCCCTCTCTCATCTGCCAGCCGTTTGTCATGGAACCCGCTCTCAAATGCTTTCATTATTACAGCGGGTTCCACGACGGAAAAAATGAAAACATTTGAGAGCGGGTTCCACGACGCGGCCTGCCAAAATGCCGTAGAACCCGCATTTATAGACATTTTTACTGCGGGTTCCACTACGAACTGAGACGATGTTAAGGTGATTTTACAATTTTGTATTTTTTTTTATTGGATTATAAATTTAGGAAAACATATTAAAAGAATAAAAATATAGTATAAATAGATTTAAAATTAAAAAAAAATGGATGTCCCGAGCCTGGTTTGAACTCGTTTTACTTTGCACACCAGCCAAGCACTCTACCACTCGGCTATTCCTCATTCGTTGTCGCGCGAAAAATTTCTCAAACTTAACTTGTCGCGCAATAGAACCCGCTCGTTCCAGCGGGTTCCACTGCTGGAACCCGCCATAGAACATTTTTCTTTGTATGAGATGTCCCATCTATGTACTGTATAATCTTTGATTCCGATCAAGTTGGACTATCAATTTTTAATGATAGAATCCGATTTTTACATTCGTTATGTATTTCTTGTCGAATTTTTTCTGCTACCTGTCGAATGCAGCATGTGGCTGCATGCCACTAGAATCATTTTCTTTTTGTTCAGGTCGAATGTCATGCAACATTAAATGTTTCTTTAAATTAAAGGCACGATCTTTTTTTAACATTCGGAAACATGCTTTGCATTTAACGAGCAAAATAAGGGTATAAGGGTATAAAAATTACTTTATTTATAATATATGTTATTCATACCTTTGCAGAGAGTATTAACATTTTGGTCAAAAGTGTGAAACGCAGTGAAGAAGACATCTCCAACCCTATAGAGTATATATATTCTTGATCAGGATCACCTACTGAGTTGATATAAGCATGTCAGTCTGTCTGTTTCTACGTAAACTAGGGTTTAAGTTTTAAAGCTATCGACTTGAAGCTTTGCACACACCCTTCTTTCTTTTGCACGCAGTATATAAGTCGGAACGGCCCGGATCGGCCGAATATATCTAATAGCTCCCATATAACTGATTGATCGGAAATGGTATAACATTGGCATTTTTAGAGTTAGAGAGTTCAATTTAGAGTTAGAAAGTTATTTTCATGCCAAATTTCATAAGGATCGGCTGACTACATCTTATAGCTGCCATATAACTGAACAATCGAAAATTACCCAACTTTCGTGTTGAAGATAGAAAGCTGGAACTTAATACAGATTCTATTTTTGGTCAGATAATCCGACCTACCAAATTTTATAACGAGCGGCTGACTATATCTTATAGCTGCCATATAACTGAACGATCGGAAATGGTTTTTGGTAGAAATACCAACTTTGGTATTTTTGAAGATAGAAGTTTGGGACTTTTTTTAGATTTTTTGTTATTGTAACTAATTTGTTTTATTATGATATTAACATAAGGATCGGCGAACTATATCCGATGTTTACGATATAAATTTGATTTTAAAAGCAAGGGTATATCAACTTCAGCTCCGCCCGAAGTTAACTTTCCTTTCTTGTTTTGCCAAAAATAGCTCTCATAAAAAATCCGAATTACAAAAAAGCTCTCTAACACCGAAGTTAAAGCATATCCGATCAATCAGTTATATGGCTGCTATACGATGTAGTCGGCCAATCCAGGTTGTTCCAACTAATATACAGCGTGCAAAGGAATGACGGGTATGTGCAAATTTTAAAGTCGATAGCTTTAAATCTGAGAGACTATTTCGCGTAAAAGCAGACGGACAGACGGACATGCTCATATCAAATCATGAGGTGATCCTGGTCAAGAATATATATACTTTATAGGGTCGGAGATGTCTCCTTCACTTTGGACAAAATTATAATACCATTTGCAAGGGTATTTTATACCTTTAAAATTTAAAATTTAAAGATTAAAGATTCTAAGTCTTTTATTCTATTTTATTTCTAAGTCTAGCTCTGTTGAAACTGCGAAAGCTAAAAGATTTTGTGAAATGCTATTAGCTCTAGATTTCTAGCATTCGAATCAAGCATTTTTTTAATGATTCGGTTACTACTGGCACTTTTTAAATAGTACCGATAGCTCTTCTTTAGCTCTACCGATATAACTCTTCTAAGATGTATTTTGAGGTTCACTCAAAAAAAGTGAAAAAAACTCTGTTATCAGAAAATTCTCTTATTTTGTATAATAAAAAAAAAACACGTTAAAGTCTTGGGCTGAAGTTTTGGAGCCCAGAGATACCGGAGGATTCGACACACGCCCCCTTAGCACCTTTGCACTTAAAATAATGAGTCGAACGCAAAGGTGGAACGCGTATTTAACCAAGTGCAGCTAGTTAAAAGTAAAATGAGAAACAAAATGCATTTGAAACTAAATCCTAAATTCTATTTTATCCAAAAGTTAGGCTTCATTAATAAATACAATTTTAAGATTTATACTAATGAAATGAATGTTCATTTGCAGCTATGGTCGGCAGGGCCCTATTCCAGGGGCATGGGAAATTTCTTTGCGCGAGCTCTGCCGCACCCAAACAGTGTAAACTTATAATTTCTACTATTCGTCACTAATACTAATACCTTAAAACCGTATCATTGTATTAAGTGCCGGCCACTGATTTACAGATATGGATTCAAAAGAAGTGGGATGTGTTGCTATACCCTTGCAAAGGGTATTATAATTTTGTCCAAAAAAGTCCAACGCAGTGAAGGAGACATCTCTGACACTATAAAGTATATATATTCTTGATCAGGATCACCTTCTGAGTTGATATGAGCATGTCCGTCTGTCCGTCTGTCTGTCTGTCTGTCCGTTTCTACGCGAACTAGTCTCTCAGTTTTGAAGCTATCGTCTTGAAACTTTGCACACACCCTTCTTTCCTTTGCACGCAGTATATAAGTCGGAATGGCCCGGAATATAACTGATTGATATAGTTATATTCCTTCCTTTGCACGCAGTATATAGTCGGAATATAACTGATTGATCGGAAATGGTATAACTTCGGCGTTATACGATAACGAAGTTATATATATATATATCAGACCTGATTTATACGGCCAATAACGACATTGCGATTCGAGATGTAATCAACAGTTGGATTATATCGGAATGCAGGACGATTGTATTGCAGGTTTCGATCCGTTGCAAGCTGTAAACGCGCTTCAGCTACCCTTGCCCTGTCGCGTTCATTATTTTGAGACCGAATCAAATCGATTGCTGCATAACGCGACTGCCTAACTCTCAATCGTGTTCGCTCAAGCCTAGCTGCTCGCGTTTCTGCTTTCTCCGCGTTGTGCATTCGCATGGCTCTCAGCCGCTCAGTCTCTCGAATAGAGGCCCGCTCTTCGTCACTACTATTCGAAATGTTACGTCTTTTTGCTTTTGTATTGCGAGTAAGACGACCAAAATTCAACTTCTTGGGTGGCATGACTTCGTTTCTAATGACTTCGTTTCTGACATTTTCATTTGACATTTTCTTCTTAGCTGTCTGCCTAAATAGAAAAGTAGGGGCACGGGGAAACGCGAAAAAAACTGATATATTCGCAAACGCAGATAAGCTATCTACATCAAAAGTATACATAAACCGAGCTGGAACCTCAACGCATGTTGGGTAAAAATTTGGGCTTAAACGGTTCAGAACTTTTCAAGTCTATAAATGATGTAGATACGAACAGAGCATTTTTATATATATAGATATCTTGAAAGGGGCGTTACAAAAGGGGTGGTCAAACTAACATAAAAAATATATATGAAATTCAATTACAATCGTCTATTATAAATATTCTAGGAATCAGACTAAAAATCTAAAAATCAAAAAATCAAAGACTATTTGCCCATAGCTTTAAGGGGGCGGAACGGAACGCGTGGTCCGAAATTCAGGCATAATATTTAAGACATATCTGCAAAGTTTCAAGCCTCTATCTTCAAAATTAGAATTGATGCCAACAAACCGATTTTTTGCCCATAGTGCACCGTCGAAATGAGAATTACCGTCGTATAACCGTCGTCACTGGATTGCCCGATCGCAACGCTCCTTGTATATTGTACCAGCGTACGGGTCGTCACAATAATGAACATACCCTAAATTTCCCGAAATACGCCTATTGAAAAAGTTGCAAGATGATCTTGCGTTGGGGCTTCTCGAAAGTATGTACATAAATTCCTCAAAAGTTTTGAAAAAAAGAAAAATGTAGATTTTATTGAATAATGTTGATGAAGGACTTCTGAAAAAGATGCTTAAATCTTAAGGTTTTGGAATATTGTACACACACACCTTCTTTCCAGGTGTTGATTCCGGGAAAATATGTAGTTCAAATATATTATATACATATATGTATATTATTTTAATACCTATATATTACATATTTAATATTATTATATATTGTAGTATGCATATCACATAATGAAAACAATTGGCCAATACATAAGTTAATCTTTTTGGTCCCCAAGCTGAAATAAAAAAATAAGTTAGACGCATTCTTTCCAGAAAGCCGCACGATTCCTCTTGCTAATTACATTATTGTGACTATGTACATACATACATATGTATATGCGCATACATATATGTAAGTACATACATACATAAGTGAGACTTTCTAAATTAAAACAGAAAAACATACATATGAAACAGTAGCATTACGAAAATTTCAATATTATACGTACCCATTTTTACTTTTTAGTAATTTTAAAAGCATCAGATGTTATCTATTTAGACTCTTTAGTCATATGTAAATCCGATCGACCCAGCGAGGAAAATCAAAGTTTTCACATAGACAAGAACGTACTATACAATTATGTATATATTTTCGCCTATGAACGTTTCTTTAAATGGGTAAATGCTTTATTTATTTTATGTACATGTACATAAGAGCTTTACACCTATATTTGATTTGGGTGCGCGGTAAGTTAAGTTTGGGACAAGCTTAAATCATAAACTTTAATAATTTTCGTGAAAAATATTCGATACTAAACATGAATAAATCCCTATTTATTAATGAACATACATTGAACAAATCGTTAAACATTTTACAAAAAATATGTATTTTCTTTCCATGTTTATTAGATTTGTATTAAGTAAATTCTCATACTTCAGAAAATAATTGTTTCACTTCAATTACTTCATCATATTTTCAATTTTAAATATTTTCACCTTTTTAATATTCATGAAAATACACACTGCGCCTGACAAACTTGGTGCGTTTTCGTTCCAAACCCACCCGAATTCTGACGAAACATGTTGGAATCGCGCCCGCGTTTTTAACCGCCAGGTTCGATCGAACTCTCCTTGTCTCTTTCGCACGAAAGGCTGCAGAAAAAACGCGCGCGACTTTTCGTGTGTTGAAAAACGTAAAAAAATGGATTTCCGCGCGAAATTTCTCAACACTGGCACTCGTCATAGAGCTTTTAAGCTCTCAAACAAATGGTGCTAACGCGCTAGAGATTTTCTCATAACACCTCTACTAACTGGGAACGGAAAACGTATCTGTTCCCTGTTCCGTTCCGTATGTTTGTATTTCGACCGTTTTTCGAAAATAAAGCTTAAAATAAACTGCACAAGAGTCGTAAAAGCTTTTTTCGGATGTCTTTCTATTTGCGGCTTTATTGCGGTTCGTTCGTGTTTATCGTGTATACTGAAAGTAAAAAATTATCATAAATCTTATTCTTACTTTTGTTTTGATTGCGCGTCTGCGTCTGTCATGTAAGAGTCCAGTTTTTTATTGCAATTAACAGTATAATCCTTATTTCAAAAATTATATGTTTATATGTACCATATAAAAACTATGTATGTACTATGTATTTAAAAAAAAAATTCTAAAATACGGATATTAAGAATAGAGCTTCCAGCAAGAAGTTTACTCTTTGCAAAAATAATAAGTAACAAAATGCCTAAATGTGTGAGTTTCCCCCTAAACCATGTCAGTAACCAAGTTTTTCTCGTTCTCTTTTCAAAGTGATAGATATATTTTTACATATGTACATACATATGTATATGTTCGAAAATCCTTAAGAACTTTTAGATATAAATACATATGAATGTAAAAGTCAAATGTGCAAACCGAAAACTGCCAAGCATAACACATATGTATATACATTCGAATATATTAGAATGTGCATATGTGTGCATACATATGAACATAAGTATGCATACATGACATGCAAAGGCTGAAAAAAAGAAATCGTTAGGGATTCCTGTTTTATTTTTAAACATTCATAAAACACAAAATAAAACTCCTAAAAGTATAATTTTCATTTGTATATAAAAAAAAAATTGTAAGATAAACACACATACATACTATCAAATTATTTAAATATACATACATACATATGTAGACAGAAATGCACTTTCGCTTTGAAGAGAAATACATACATACATATGTAGGTATGTACATGCTGTTGCATTTTTCGAAAAACTAAACCTTCATTGTGTCTAGAGGTTTAGGTGAGTATAGAATTGAAGTATATACGTGTATACGTATATATAGTATATACGTATGTTCATATAAACATACATACATACTTACATATGTATGTGTTTGCCTAAGATTCAGAGGTCGAGTATTTCCTTCATATTCTACATATGTACATACATATATCCCGATCGAATGCATGACAACTAATAATATTTAATTTATTATTTAATATTCAATATTTAATAAAAGTAAATTTCAATAAATTTCAAAAAAAGATATTTTAAGCAAGCTTTTTGATGCCAAATCCTTTCTATTCCTCATGTACATATACATACATATGTATGTACCTTGAAAACTAAATAAGCCGCTTCGGCCGATTTTAAGATGTCAGAGATAATCTTAGAAATATAAAAAATAAATAATGATATATAAATATATACATTTTAAATATAATATTATCATTTATAGATATACATTAATAAATCTGAAATCTTCGTATTCCATACTGGCTTGTTCCATTTTTGAACGCGGGGATCTAGGAGACTAAGCGATTTGGAACAATCTGTCCGATTTGGAACTTTGGGCTCCTATGGTATACACGAAGATCAAACTCATATTTAAATTGTTTTTCAATTTTTAAATCTATTTGAGTATACATTTTATATATACTATAAAAACATAACTTAAAAATTTGTTTCGACTATTGAAATACGACAAGACGACACGAAAAGAGACTATCATGTGCTTTCGCTAGTATTTCAGGTACTAGTTTCTTGGGAACCTAAAAATTCCACGCGAATTTGCTCAGTCTTAAGGTCAGGAAAATTAGTTTTATCCGCCCTCACATTATCCACCAACTCGGTGCATTCCCCTGATCTAAAATATTGCCAACTCAAATGCACATGTCCGTCTTGAAGAGGTTATTTTTTTAACACTTTAATTTTTTTTATAAAATTTAATTGATAATTATTATTCTTTCTACCGATTTTTTTTTTTAAATTATTATTTTTTAAATTTTAAATATTAATTTATGCGTGTTCCTCCTGAAGATGATGTAAAAGGATCCGCTCTTAATACTGCTGATAGTGTAGCTGGTTGTTTTTTCTGCCGCTGATGTTGTTTTTCTACTCGGTGGACCTGCCGCAGACATTGGTCCCGCCGTATAAAAGCCAAAGACTTTGGCTGTCGTTGTTCCCATGAACTCGAATTTTTTTCCTCGATATTTGTCCTCGAACTCGACGTATGTATATTATTTTTAATATATATATTTCCGGTTTTTTTTTTCGGAAAAACATTTTTTTAGTGAAATCTTATTTTTGATTTTCCACAACTGTAATCAGGATCTTTCCCTACACAAGTTGTGGTTTTAACTCCATGCGCCAAATCGCTTTGGAGATCCGATGGCTGAATTCCAGCCCAAAGATTTTTCATAAACATTCCGATGTAAGGCCTCAAACATTAATGCGATAACAAAAAAACGCACTTATTTCTCGATGGTAATTCTCAATTTCTGTGTCCCTTACCACTTGGGGGGAAAAAACAGAGGACTACGATTTTACACTGAGCTCTTTTATGTCCAGTTCGCAGCCATCTTAGCTACGGTGGACTGAGTGGGTCAATGCACATCTGGCCACTATTTAGATGCCAATTTTAATAGGAGCCCCAAAATAGGTTGAGAATACTCCATAATCCTTTTTATACCCTTGCAGAGGGTATTATAATTTTGGTCAAAAGTGTGCAACGCAGTGAAGGAGACATCTCTGACCCTATAAAGTCTTGATCAGGATCACCTCCCGAGTTGATAAAAGCATGTCCGTCTGTCTGTTTCTACGCAAACTAGTCTCTTAGTTTTAAAGCTATCGTCTTGAAACTTTGCACACACCCTTCTTTCCTTTGCACGTAGTATATAAGTCGAAACGGCTCGGATCGGCCGACTATATCCTATAGCTGCCATATAACTGATTGATCGGAAATGGTATAACATTGGCATTTTTAGAGTTAGAGAGTTCAAGTTAGAGTTAGAAAGTTATTTTCATGCCAAATTTCATAAGGATCGGCTGACTACATCTTATAGCTGCCATATAACTGAACAATGGAAAATTACCCAACTTTCGTGTTTTTGAAGATAGAAAGCTGAAACTTGATCCAGCTGAAGCTGAAGTTGATCCAACCTACCAAATTTCATTAGGATCGGCTGACTATATCTTATAGCTGCCATATAACTGAACGATCGGAAATGACCCAACCGAGAATTGGGGGGGGTTCCCCTTAAGTTAGAGGTCCAGCGGATGAGTTCTGCGCAGCCGCCGCTGCAGGAGAGGAGAGAGTGGTCGGCAGGTCGCCAACTCGTTGGGGTGGTTGTGTAGTCTCTGGATATACTCGCTGCTGCTTCTCTGGATCTCCTCCTCCACCCATGGGAAGCCAAGTACCTCGTGAATTGTCTGGTTGTCGTGGTAGACGTGGGCCCCAGTGGCGATACGGGGGGCTCTATTTTAAAACGTCTGGATAGTCTGAATATTAGTCTTGCTGGTCGTGCCCCAAAGTTGGATCCCGTATGTCCAAATTGGCCGAATAATCGCCTTGTAGATTAGGATTTTCGATTTTCTTATTTCACATTGCTTTTGCTTTAAATGGGAAAAGTATTCAGGATAAATTTGATTATTTGAATGGCTGCCTCATCCCCGATGTGTGACTTTGGGTTGCTAAAGTTCTAGTTAGAACGTCGGTTACCGATTTTTAACTCTGAAATATTTTCTGAAAGTGTCTAGCAATCTTCGCTCCATATCTTGTAAAGTTTGGAAAAATTCTCAGTTATCTCTTTAATCCTGTTCAGTAATGACTACTGATAACCATTTAACTGATTTAAAAAAAAAAAGTTTAATACATAAGAGAAATTCAGGGAAAGTTTTAGGTTGAGATTAAGAGAAGTAGGTGAAAAATCGAATTAATAATCCTGGTGTCTTAATGAAAATTGCCACTCAAGAATTGAGCGTGCTGGCGACAAGATAAATAGCTAGAAACTTAACCGGGAGATCGGCAAGAAAGAAGAGAGAAGTTCATAATTTGCGATGCCGGAGATGTAAAAGGGATCGCATATTGCCCATCCTACCTTTGATCACATAGAGCAAAGCTCTAGTGAACCCTTTCAACACCCTACAACCTCGGAGTCATAAGCTCAGTTTAAACATTAGATAATGAACCTTACATAATTTAGTTTAATTGTAAAGGTGTAGAAAACAAAATTCGGTTAAAGCTAAGAGTATATAACATAACATAACATTACCATTCTTCCTACTTTTTGGTATTCGAACAAAAGTATTAAGCTATGCGGGAAAAAAGATTATATACAATTTAGAGAAAATGCATATAGGCCATTCAGAGAAAGTAAATATATATAATGGCGGGGTTCATAAGTAAATATTATAATAACAAGAAGCTCTAGAGTGCGTGAAAATAAAATTATAAAGTTAAGGTATATAAATCATGTTTTAGTCGTAATAAAATAATCATAATCATACCAGTTATAGGTCGGTTATAGTGAAGGTATGAAATAAAACCAAAATACAAATTCTATGAATAATTATAAAATTTAAATAAGCCAATAAAAGAAAATCAAATATTATTGGGTTAAAGTTTTGTGATATTATTACTTTGTTAGGGTATTATGTTAATAAGATCAACTAAAATTCATGTTAGATTGGTTCATGCTTGTTTTGTTTTGGTAAATAATTAAATGAACCACTCACTGCATAGTCATCGGGGAAAGATCGATCTCCGCTTAGGTTCGCTCTAAAGAATTAGTGTTTTTTATAGCAATGTTATTTAAAGAACTGACTTACGAAATAAAAATAAACGATTTAAATAAACAACAAAGCCGAAAAAATAAATCGGTATATTTTATAACTTAGAAATAAGTAAGATTTTATTTCTTTTTCACTTCTGTATGAACGTATGGTTTGGTTTCATGTATGTATGGTTTCACTTCTTTTTACTAAATGTATGTTTAGACCTTTTCTTGAATTTTTTCCCTTAAGGTTTTTTCCCCACTTTAGCCGAATTTATTGTATTTTTCTAAATTCTAAATTTAAATAAAACAAATTTAAATTTGATGGAACAACAATCAACATCAAATTTAAATAAAACAGAAACATGTGACAGAAATAAACATACAAGTATTAGTGTTGGCTGTAGTTCAGGTAATAAAACGATAATGTGAAGAAAAAAATCGCCATGGGTTAAACTCATCAGCCTTATACTTAGCGGAACACGTGCTTCCACCTGCTCTGACTAGACTGCTGCCTTAAACCATTATATGGTTAATTTTCCGGTACCATGTGGTTAGGTATGGGGGGTGCTGGGGGTGCTTTGTGTTGGCCGCAATAAATCTTAAAACGGCCACAATAAGTACCCTGGATATAATAAGTAAATGATTTTAATATTCACTTGACAACTTTCAGCGGGATAAACACAATTAAAACAAGAAAGGAAAGCTAACTTCGGGCGGAGCCGAAGTTTATATACCCTTGCAGTTTAAACCGGATATATATCGCAAACATCGGATATAGTTGGCCGATCCTTATGGGAATATGAATATATAATCCAATTTATTACAATACAAAATCTAAAAAAAGTCTGAAGCTTCTATCTTCAAAAATACGACAGTTGATATTTCTACCAAATACCATTTCCGATCGTTCAGTTATATGGCAGCTATAGGATATAGTCGTCGATCCTTACGAAATTTGGCATGTCGTATTATTTTGCCAAAAATAGCGCTCGTGTAACATTTGAACTCTCAAACTTTAAAAACACCGAAGTTATACCATTTCCGATCAATCAGTTATATGGCAGCTACAGGATATAGTTGGCCGATCCGGGCCGTTCCGACTTATATACTGCGTGCAAAGGAAAGAAGGATGTGTGCAAAGTTTCAAGTCGATAGCTTTAAAACTGAGAGACTAGTTCGCGTAGAAACAGACAGACAGACGGACAGACGGACATGCTCATATCAACTCAGGAGGTGATCCTGATCAAGAATATATATACTTTATAGGGTCGGAAATGTCTCCTTCACTGCGTTGCACACTTTTGACCAAAATTATAATACCCTCTGCAAGGGTATAAATATCATGCTGGCTCGCCTAACGGGTCGTGGCCAATCAACGGACTCCTTTTATGCTCCGATTTCGACCTTCTCTTTTCGATTGCAATTACGTTTGTCTCGGCGCAAAAACCTAAACTTTGTATACGTACAAATAATAAAAAACCGACACCTCCGAATGTTCGGCAACTTAGGGGGTTATTTAATAAAAAATAAGATAGAAAAGCTAACTTCGGACGGAGCCCAAGTTGATATACCCTTGCAGCTAAAACCGGATATACATACATATCGTATGTATCCTTATAAGAATATGATAATAAAACCAAGCTTCTATCTTCAAAAATACCAAAGTTGGTATTTCTACCAAATACCATTTCCGATCGTTCTTTTATATGGCAGCTATAAGATATAGTCGATATATTATATTATTATTATTATTATATGAAATTTGGCATGTGGTATTATTTTGCCAAAAATAGCTTTCGGGTAAAATTTGAACTCATTAACTCTAAAAAAACCAAAGTTATACCATTTTCGATCAATCAGCTATATGGCAGCTATAGGATATAGTCGGCCGATCCGGGCCGTTCCGGGCCGTTCCGACTTATATACTGCGTGCAAAGGAAAGAAGGATGCAAAGTTTCAAGTCGATAACTTTAAAACTGAGAGACTACTTTGCGTAGAAACAGACAGCTCATATCAACTCAGGAGGTAAATATATCAAGAATATATAAATCAAGAATATATATACTTTATAGGCTCGGAGATGTCTCCTTCACTCCGTTGCACACTTTTGGACAAAATTATAATACTCTCTGCAAGTGTAGAAAAATGGATTATAAATTTTCTATCCCGGAGTGTACTGAAGTGTTAACTTAAAGCAAGTCTGATCTCCACGACAGTTTCGAATGAAAAGAAGGTTACAGGAAAGGAAAAAAAAGATCAGCTTATATAGCAGCTTTTAAAGGCTTGCCTGATGCACCTGATAATGCGTCCCGGAAATTGGGCAACTCCAAAAATAGTACGGCTTAAAAGTTCATTCACTAAATATCAATCAACTGCCACATAAAACAACGCTTGGCTTAACCGATATTTTTTTATAATCAATACGTTAGTTGTTTTTTATAAATTTTCTAAACGACTCTTCAGCAGGGTTTGCATTTACTACTCCGTAGTAGCGAGACGCGTAGAAATATTGCTCTGCTATTGCTACCGCCCACTTATTTAACTAGAAGTTGTTAATTTTAATTTTTTGTTTCTCAATAATCTAAATATTAAATATTATTACTTATTATTATTAATTATTACCTAAAACCTTTTTTTCTGCTATTGCTATAGCTATAGCAGAGCAGAAAAGTTGTTCCATATAACTGTTGCACTGTGTAATCAATGTGTTAATCCTCTGCTTTAAATGTGTTTACATTGGCTGACATTAGGGATCACTTAGAGGACTGTGTGAACTGATCTGGATAGGAAATTATTCAACGCTTAGAGGATCTTTGTGTTTACGTTGGCAGACATTAGGGCTCACTTGGCGGTAGGAATACTTTAGAGGCGTACTTGACAGAAATAGCTGACAACGGATTTATCTCGGGTCTAGACAGCTCGTCTGGAAATTAGGGTTGGCTCAAAGAATAGACATAATTACGAAATTCAGTAGCAGCAGAGGGCCGGCACAATTGGTTCGCCCACTTTTCGAACAAAATATGACGTAACGGCCTCTAAAAGGTAGCGAACATGAATTTCAGTACTGCCAGGTACTTTCTGCTATTTCCTATTAATACCAATTCATTAAAATCATACCAATGTATTGAATGACCACTGCTATAAAATAAAAAGTGTATGTAATGTTTTTGAGTACACCCAACTACTGTACAGTACTGTGAAGCTACAAATGAATGTATTCATGCGGATTTCCATCATAAATATTAAAATATTTAATAACTCTTAAATATAACACTTTAACATTTACATTTATATCTACACCTATTTCTTAAGCTTAAGTGGTCTTTTACTAAATTTAAGAAGTTAACAAATCTATTGCAAAACTTTTGTTCGAAACTGTAATTCTCTCTGCAAAAGTATACACCAAAAATACATTACTTATTGAAGTATTTGTATAAAAATATATACAAATATACAAAATAATATACAAATATAAAAAATATACAAATAAAATAAAAAATTATTATTATTTTTCAGAAAACATTCGAAAAATCTGCTTAATATTGTGAGAGAATATATGGGATGTCTAAAAGAGATCTAAGCATTTATTGGTGTTAAAATCTTTGAACATTTCGAAAATTTCAAACGATTCCCTGAATGGCCGTGAAATATTAAGGAGATGCAAGTGGAAAGTAAATACATCCCACTGATATGTAGTTCCTTTTCGAAAACATACAAGATAACTTCATTTGTATTTATAATAAGATCAACACAGGCTTCTCCAAAAATAAATTTTGGTCAAGTTCAAGAACTGAAAAACTCCATCGTCATTGTAATGGCTTTGAATGTGGATAAAACTCTGGCCACGACAGTACATATAGCGCCACATATAACATCACAATCGAATAATTTAAACAGTGCCGTCGAATGTATGAACAGTCAACAACACAAACTATCCACCTTAAATAAACTTACCACTTTTCAGGATGAAGAAGTTGACAATCCTACCGATGATTCCGGCTTGGATCAAGCCAGAACTGCGTCAGATGAATCTAATAAGTTTGAAGATTCTAAACAGCCTTTGGCTGTCAACAGTACAAATTCAAAAATCATGTTACTTGTGGATAGTCTAGACAAAAAAGAAGCACAAAAATTATCGACTTATAATACCGATAGTTATTTGGCTCCTGAGCAGGCCCTGGTTACAAGTGTAGAGTTAGTGGTCCCAGCGTCTGCGTCCCTAATGTCCTCATCGGATGAGTGTAAGCCTGACGACGTTTCGGATTTGTCTTCATCAGAAATCGGTACCAAGGGACATCATGCAGGTGAACTTTACGCTTCGAGAGGTTCGTGTGATTCAACGAGAATATTTACAAACGATAAAAACGATGGTTGTGCAAATAACTCCTCTAATTTGGATGTACGAATTACTAATAATGTACCATCTTCTAATATTTTGCTGCCAGATCGGAGGGCTTCGATATGGACCCCACATAATGAGCAGTCAAGACAAATAAACATAGGGTCGTCGACAGAGGAGCCTCTAACTGTGAATAGCAACCATCTCTACCAACAACAAAATCGCCATTCGAATCAAATTGAGAAAGAAAGATGTGAAACTACAGGATTTCCTCAAGGTCATCCCATGCCATTAAATATTCATGGAACTGCTATTCAACGACAGTATATGTCAGCAGAGGTTCATCCAATCATTGAAGGACAGTCTCATATTAACTTTTATGCACAAATGATGCAGCAACACCATTCTCAAAATCACCGTCAACACCAGAGCAATGAAGTCCTTCCCTCCAATACTTCCAGAAACCAACATTCAACGTATGCAATCTATGACCCTCATTATCAAAATTCCACAATGTTTGCAAACCAACAAAATAATCATCAGCAAATCCAAAACGTCCTAACGCATCATAATTTAAGTTGCCACAGCGCAATCGATCAATCGGATACACTTTCCCACCCACAGCAGATTCAACACACACAACCGCAAATACAACCACATCAACATCAAAACCAACAGCAACTGCAAGAGCATCATCTACAACCTCTCGAACAGCAACACCATCAACGACAACATCAAATTCATGAAAATTATCATGAATTAATAATGGAAGATTTTCACGAGGAGCAAAGTTCTGCCTTCAAACTGTAAGCTTTAATTTTTTAATAACTTTAGGATTAAAACGGCGGCCTAAACTTTATATGTTGTTAACAACTCAATAAACAAGAAAGGAAAGCTTACTTCGGGCGAAGCCGAAGTTTATATACCCTTGCAGTTAAAACCGGATATGTATCGCAAACATCGGATATAGTTGGCCGATCCTTATGGAAATATGAATATATAATCCAATTTATTACAATACAAAATCTAAAAAAAGTCCTAAACTTCTATCTTCAATCATACCAAAGTTGGTATTTCTACCAAAAACCATTTCCGATCGTTCAGTTATATGGCAGCTATAAGATAGTCAGTCGGTCGATTGTTATGAAATTTGGTAGGTCGGATTAACTGACCAAAAATAAAATCTGCACCAAGTTCCAGCTTTCTATCTTCAAAAACACGAAAGTTGGGTCGTTTCCGATCGTTCAGTTATATATATATGGCAGCTATAGATTATAGTCGTCCGATCCTTATGAAATTTGTCATGTCGTAATGTTCTGTTAAAAAATAGCTCTCGTGTCAAATTTGAGCTATAACAAGAAAGCAAAGCTAACTTCGGTCGGAGCCGAAGTTGATATACCCTTGCAGTTAAAACCGGATATATATCGCAAACATCGGATATAGTTGGCCGATCCTTATGGATCGATTACATCGTTGGCCGATTACATCATAATAAAACAAATTAAATACAATAAAAAATCTTAAAAAAAGTCCCAAGCTTCTATCTTCAAAAATACGAAAGTTGATTTTTCTACCAAATACCATTTCCGATCGTTCAGTTATATGGCAGCTATAGGATATAGTCGGCCGATCCTAATGAAATTTGGTAGGTTGGACCAACTGACCAAAAATAGAATCTGTACTAAGTTCCAGCTATCTATCTTCAAAAACACGAAAGTTGGGTCATTTCCGATCGTTCCGTAATATGGCAGCTATAAGATATAGTCGGCCGGTCCTTATGAAATTTAGCATGTCGTAATGTTTTGCGCAATATATAAGTTGGAATGGATCTTATAGCTGCCATATAACTGATTGGTCGGAAATTCTGTAACTTTGGTGTTTTAAGAGTTAGAGAGTTCGGATGAGTGCTATGTTTTGGCAAAATAATACGACTATATCTTATAGCTGCCATATAACTGTTTGATCGGAAATGCTGTAACTTTGTTGTTTTTAGAGATAGAGAGTTAAGATTTTCCCTGAATGTCTGCCCTTATGTCTGTTGATACGCAAACTCTCAGTTTTAAAGCTATTGGCTTAAAAATTTGTACCCGTCTTTCTTTCAGTACAGTACATAAGTCGAAAGGGCTGGAATCGGCCAACTACATACTAAGGCTGTATCTAACTTAACGTCACGGTTTGTGGTCACGGGGGGGAGGGGGTCAAAAATGTCTGAAATTCGCGTCACGCAATATATGGACGGCCCCTATAGGAAATCATTTTGGTTACGATTTTTACATATCATAAATAATATTCGATAGCTGCGTTATATATCCAATCCAATATAAATCTCAACATAAACTAACACAACTTCAAGGGTAGAACAAGGCGTATATGGTAAAACATAATAGACATGTATCCAAATAAGCTTTTTTCCGCCTAATACTTGTTTATTGTAAGTTCTAGATTGAAATTAAAACACTTTTTGCAGAACACTCTCTCCAAACAACGTAAAACCGGAAAACCAGGATGATGGTTACGAAACCAGCGCCGGTGATGTTTTGACACCAAGTTCCCATAGTTCCTCTACCCATTCTGTCACGCCACAGCATCAAATGCAACATCTGAACGTAAAGATTATATCACAAAACGTACAAAATTTAAACATGGTCAACGTATCAAATGGGAATCAGAAAACGGTTATTGCCTCTCAGAAACATTTTGAAGACGTTTGCTCTGGAACCTCCAATCACGCACCTGGCGTTGATTCATATAGTTTTATTTGTCAAGACAGTCATATAAATACTGTTCCTGCAGTTGGATCAGCTAATTTTGTCCCTGGATCAGTTCCGATTTTGGCATCAAACGGAAGCTTCGAATGCCGAAAAGGTGAAATATACGAACATCACGATAATCTTTTGCAAGAGTTAGGTACGGCGCAATGCGACATGACTTCCAAACCAGTACCCAAAAAAAGAGGTCGAAAAAAAAAACTACCTAGTGTCGGATCAGGTGGTATGATGTTGGCAAAAATAATATCCCATGAGTAAGTATTTAACTTAAAATTTAAAATGGTTTCCAAACATACGTTCCGTGTGGATACGTGTGGAAAAATTCAAAAATGCCAAAATCATTATCGTTGCTTTTTTTACGTTTAAAACCCTTGCAGATGGTATTATAATATTGTCCAAAACTTTGGAACGCTTAAAATAGTGTATTTTAAGCTTTATAGGGTCTGAGATGTCACCAAAATTATAATACTCTCGGCAAGGGTATAATGAATTCCTTATTGCCTAATAAATTTATATTATATCTTGCTCGGCTATGCTCTTATTACCCTTTGTAAATAATCTAGATCAGTGGTGGGCAAACTCTCATTTTCCATAAGTAGTACGCGTGCATAGGGTCGGAAATTCTGCCGCAGCGCTCTCTGGAAGCTCTCTCATTTTGCCTCATTTGATAGCCCAAACTTTAAAATTAAAATGTTTGCACTCAGAAAAATGTTTTTCAGAAATTGGGTTAGAACAAGTTTTTTCCATAGAAAACATAGAAAGGGAATCGTAGTTTTGTTTAAGAACTGTTGCTAGGAAACCTTTCTTTAAAATAAAATACACTGTTTTAAGGCTCATTCAAACTTTTGATTTAACGAAAAATGAAATAAAAAACTAAGTTTTTTTTGCTCATTGAATGCTCTGCTCTCATTGTGTTTTGCTGCTAAGCATACACACAAATATTAATCATGTGTGCGTTTTGCGCTGATGTAGATGCATATCGGCATATTTTGACAAGGGATGCCAATACGCCCTCTTCGGATCAACTTTAGGCTTGACTCTTTTCACAATCAACTCCGGTCAGTAAGGGAAGGAATATTCAAACTGGATAATACTCTTTCAGTCAGCTCTTCCAGAATTTGTCTGCGATCTGACCTGCAAGATAAAAACTTTTACCAAGTAGAATACGAATGTTCTCTACTCTATTCGAAGCCGTGGTGCTTGTCGACCTCTCAAACAGCTTGGACTTCCAAACTCGTAACGAATACTCCCCATCGCTTATCGGGGCGTCTTTCCACGTTGGGTTCCAGTACTCTAAAGAAATCGATTCCATTGTTTGTGAACGATAGCGCGTGGATCGGTCATAATACCCTCGGTTGACTGTCTATCTCTGGGTTCTCCGGTGTCGCTCGTTTGGGCTCGTATAGCCCGCGACTCTAGCCTTGGGTGCTAGGTAGGCGACTTCAAGCGTAGGTAGGCGATTATTTTTATACTGGCATCTTCAACAACATGTCATTGAATATATGATGTGTCAAGCCTATATATTGATGGGTATGCGTAGTCCCTCGATGTGCTAAAGCAGATGAAATATAGACATGGCCACACTCATAATGGTTATTTTCGTAGCTTGTTTCCCACCCTTGCTCGGGCCCCACCACATACCTAAAACTCATTCTCGTTTAGATTCACTTGACATCTCTACTGGGCACTTGGGCTCGAAACCTTTATGTCGATGTTTTTCTCGGACCTTTACTACTAAGCGTGTCGTTTCGTTTTCAGATTCGCTTCTGTAAAACCAGTCGTCCACATATGTCGCCGATGCGCTGGTGCTGGTGTTTTGATTGAGAGTTCTAAACTCTAAAAAGAGTTGCTTCTTTCTGCCTGGTGTGCTCTCTTTCTCTTTTCTTTAATTGAAATCTTTTTTGCGTCGGTTTCTCTCCTCTGACCCTCGCGTAAATCTTCTTGGTGCAAAAACGGATCTCCAGCTTAGCTTGTTTGGTGTACAAACTCCTGCCTGCAGGCAGATAAAACCGGATGATACGAGGATAGACCACTTTATGGTGCTAAGCAGGGACTTAATGTACGTACAGAGAGTGCGGCCCGACTAGACATTGCAAAGCTAAAGACATTGCGATAACGCAGAGGGCGGCCCGATCTAGACATTGCGGAGCTAAAACTCTCTAGAGATAGGCCCGTTGAAGTGGAGTGGCGGAGTTTTCTCTGTCGTCTTGCGATCAACTAGGCGATTTGTACATGATTTGTACAAGCCCAATTCATTGCATTAAGTGAAGAAATGCATCGTTAGTGCTATCCGAATTATTAAAGTCTTCCAGACCCGACACTGGGCTGAATGTTAATTGCGCGTAGTTGCCTGAACCCTTATATGCGAATTAAATTTGTCCGAGAGTTCGAGTCATTCATTCACATGAGCCGGTGATTACTAAACATTCTGTGGAGAAACTCTAAGGAGACGTCATAATATTTGTCGTCAGGTCCAATTAACGCACAGTCTCCAAGGGTGACTCACGAGGACAGGACCGTAGCTGCCGAAGGTTCTCCACTCGACTTATGAATGGGTTTTTGTCAACCCACTGGAGAATGGTGAACGGAACTCAAGCCACTCTGCAGAACCTCCACTAAAAGCTTGGAAAGTCCTGGCGAACGACTCATCTAAATTGGGATCGGAAGCAGCGTTAACCAGCGTTGAGCTTGCAGGCAATAAATTGGAGCGCCGATTAATTTCCTGGTCCATGATAAAACCGGCCTCCCTCGCCGCATCGTTGAAGTTGACGCGCAGATCGCTCCTGAGCTCCGCAACATGTAACTCAGCCAGCGCCTTGTGCGTGTCTCCGGAAATGTCTCCACCGCTTTTAAAGACAAGGAATCCTTGGAGATCGTCAAAAAGGACAATAGCTTTTTGGCTCAGAAAGAGCTTCCTTTCAGGAGATGCAGACTCAACAAACGGATTTTCATTTTCTCAACAATAAATTTATTTTAGTTTGTTTATCGATAGTTCACGACCCACGGTGCAACTGCTATATAAAGGGGTAACGATTGTAGTAATCTGCAAATAACGGTACGTCTGTTTCTACGCAATCATGTCTCTCAGTTTTAAAGCTGTCGACTTAAAACTTTTCCCACATCATTCTTTCCTTTGCACGCAGTAGATATGTCGGAACGGCCGGGATCGGCCGACTATATACTAAATCTGCTGTCTAACTGATTGATCGGATATGGCAAAACTCTTAGATTTATATTTTGTTTTTTTAAAGAGTGTTTTTAGAGTTCAAGAGTTGGGACTTACTATGGCTTCTATATTTGACAAAAAAAAAAAAACCAACTACCAAATTTCATAAAGATCGGCCGACTATATCCTATATCCTATATTTCGTGTTTTTAAAGATAAAAGGTTGGACTTTAGCCATGTCCGTCTGTCCGTATGAACGCGTGGATCTCAGAGACTATAAAACATTGAGCTATAGTATTTGCATCAATGTAAATAATATAGTATCAAATTTCATTTTTCATATAAACGTGTTCACATTTTAAACGCGTGGATAGCGGAGAATATAAGAGATAGTTACAGTTATATAGGAGTTATAGCCTTTTTATTCCGGTGCCCTACCGATTTTCTGAAGTGATTTTTACCTCGAGCAAAAAAGTATGTAAACAATTTTTTGCAATTTTTTCCATTCCTTTAAACTTTAGTTTATAATTGGGCAGTAGAGATTAGTTCTGGGTATAATGCAGTCGGGAAATTGGACTACACCCGTCCTTTCTTATTTTCCCTAAAGTGGTTACCTCGATATTTAAATAAAATACGGTATTTGGCACTATTTGGTCATTTCTGTGCTACAACGTATATTTAGTATATTTAGCAGGGGTGCCCAAGCTCTGCATACGGGAGAGGAAACTCCCATGCCAATGCAAAAAATCACCAATACTTTTGTGCAAATATTTTTTTTCTATTCATTGGTGCACTGAAACATTCACAAGGGATTTAAAAAAAATCAATATAATAAAAAATACATTTTATTATAGCAAATAAAAAAGGGCCTCTATTTTTTACAACAGCTTATTATTAAACTATGACAAATAATGCAAAGCTTTTTACTTAAAAAAAAATTCGGCGAAAAAAAATTTATCGCTTAAGGTCGACCATTTTGGCACAAACAAAAACAAGAATGAATTTCTAGCAGTGAAAAGTTTTTGGCACTCCAACAACAAAATTCATTCGGATTAGCACGATTGAGGAGAATAGAGAAAACACGAAAAATTTTTATTGTAATTGCCCTTTGCCTATGCTGGGAGCAACGAAGCATGTATCTGTATGCATATCTGGAAGCATATCTGTATGCATGAAAATTTGCAAAAATAAATGAGCAGCGAGAGCGATGGGATGAGCACCACTGCTCTAAAGTTACCAGCTGCTAAGAAAAATTAAAGTTTGCCATGCCAATTTTTGATCGTTGAGTTAAGCTTTTGACAAGTCAGGCTCATAGCTGGTAAATAATGTATTAATTTTTCGGAAAATGGCCATCGTTTTCATTCACAAAGCTTGTCTCTCTTCATTTGCAATGCTTATTTATTTTCTTTTAGACTATACTCTTAACTTATAATTAATCAGTAAATATGGTATTTGAAATTAAACCTAACTTATCTCCGACACGGCCTTCCTGACTATAACACGTCCTCGTGTTGCTCTGCATAGACAAGACTTATCATAACACATTATTATCAATATCCTATATTACTCATCTTATTTCTACGATTAAAAAATTCAATTATTCTATAAAACAAATTTAATTGCACCTCTTGTGCCTTCAAGTTTGACGTGATAACACTTCTCAAATTCTCTAGAGTACAAGCTCTCTTCCGTTCAAACCCAACCACTTGGATGTCCATCAGAGATTAGCTTAGCAGGATAACTTTCTTCTCTTTTACATGTTTTGGAGTACACGCTCTCTTCCGCTCAAGCTCAATCCTCTGGTTATCAATTCAATTATCATCAAAACATCATTTCAGCAGGCTTCTCACACACAAATCAGAGTACTACACTCAAAATAAAATTAACCCTAAGATTGAGAAATTCGCCCTATTTTTGTCTTCAACGGCACCGCACCATAAAATTTAGGGTAAATTTTTCTAAAATAATGGCGTTTCCTTTCAAAAATGTAAAGCAAATTGCCCTTAAAATAAGAAAAAATTTTCAAAAAAATAGAAAAAAATTTCTTAAATTTAGGGTAAATTTTTCTAAAATTAATGGCGTTTCCTT